TCCAGTCAATGACTCAGACGAGTTGATAAATTAAACTAAACTAACTTTAAAATAGATCTAAAATGACTGGAGAGCCATATTCTAATTTAACTTTTCTCTAAATCTGATGATTATGATTTGTTTTAATTATTTGCCCTGTGAAGCACTTTGTAATTTGAAGTTTGAAAAGTTCTTTCAAAATATTAGAATGATTAAATTATGATCATCAATATTGGGACCAGGCCGTATGTGGGACGGCCTCAGGTTCTCAACCTGTTTCTCATTATACTTATTTTTCTTTATCTTGTGTGATGAACCCGAAAACTTTTTGTTTAGCAACTTTTTCCGAGGTCAAGAAAGATGGTTGATGAATTCTGGCAGACGGGAAATCCTAAAATCAATTAAATCAAACTTATAGCAAATCAGGAGGATGTGTGTTAACTAAAGCATCAACATGACAACTGTGCAAACCCTGTACACTGATTAACGAAGCCAGAAACACAGAGCACGTGAACCTTGAGCTTTTCTCACTGTACATTAACACACTGATTTCTTTACTTGCTCACTGAAGCTCTGTATCAATAGGAAACCAATCACGGTTACCATGTTTGAAAGTTTGGACTTGTCCTGTCCTGTGCATGTTGAAATGTTTTTGGTTTGTACCCGCATCACTTCAGTAACCGGGACTTTCCCCGTTTATTTTTACTTTTTCCTCACTGCTGCATCCCTGGGCGCGGTCCAGCCATGAAAATAATGAATGACGCATATTTCAAATATGATAAATAAGACAATAGCACGAATGAGACGTCTTAAAATAAAATAAAATAAGTCCTGACTCTTTACAACGTTGGTCTCTTTGGCCTGAGTCTCACATTCTCAAAATTTCTAGGACTCTCACGTTGCTCTCTGGCTCGGTGGGCTAAGAGATGTTGCTCAAAAACAGGAAATCCCAATCTTGCTGTTTTTCTCAGTAAGCCCGCTCTTTCTTTCCTTGCAGAGACCTTTATCTCCGTGCACACACCCACACACCCTCTGATCCCCCTAATTTGAAGCCTGCTCTGAATGACGTCACTCAGGTCAGGTCGCCCACAGTCTGAGGCAGCTGCGTCTCCATGTACGGCTGCATCTGGAGGCCTCTTGTTGACTGTCGACAGGCTCGTTGCCGCTCAGGAGATCAGAGATGTGCCTGTCAGACACATTCCTCACCTCCTGTATCACGAAACAACCAGCAATTAGGAATCCACACCTCCCTCCCTCTTTCTTCTTTCCTCTCCCTCCATTCATCCACCACACACGGAGCTGACAGGTGCCTTGTAGAGAACATTACCTAATCATACATTTGTTCCTGTGTGGCACGGTTTAATCACACGGCAACAATGGCTGTTTTGTGCGGCTCTAGTATAATCAGGGCCTGTGCAGCACTGTTATTGAGACCGGCTCACACATCCCCCTGTTTTCTTTGGCACCTGCAGCACAGGTAACAGCAAAGAGCAGAATTATCCTTCGGCTGGTAAACCAAGCCTTTAATCGACCCGAGTGAATCTGTGAAGTCAGCGTTCCCCTTCATCTCCAGATTTACGAGCAGAGGACAGAGAAAAAAAAAAAGAGTTTAAATCCTCCGTGTGTTTCTCTGACAGTGAGATCGACTCTGATGTGGTGAAGTTCCTGCTGAAAGTGAGGATTATTTTCAGGCCTGATACGGTATCGTCATATTTACTGAGTGAATCATCAGCGAAGATAAAGAAGGAAGGAGCAGTCGGACGCTTTAGTTCAATCGGAGAAATAAAATCCAAGATGTTACGAGTCCTGCAATTCACATGGAGCATCCGCTAAAGATTTAATAATGGATGATGGATGCATGAACGAAGGGCAGCTGGGGGGTGCACCAAGCCTATCTGATGCCAGAGACAGTGTGTGTGTGTGTGTGTGTGTGTGTGTGTGTGTGTGTCTATCTTTTGTTTTGAGGGTCAACATTGGTTCAACACCTTCACTGGGACATTTTGATTTTGTGAGTCCTCAAATTCAGCAGGTTGTTTGAGGGTTAAAACTAAGTTTAGGTTTAGACATATAGTTTTGATGGATAAGGACAGGGTGAGGGGCTGTGTGTGTGTGTGTGTGTGTGTGTGTGTGTGTGTGTGTGTGTGTGTGTGTGTGTGTGCATGTGTGTGTGTGTGTGTGAGAGAGAGAGGGAGAGAGAGAGAGGGAGAGACCTACCTTCTGGACTGAC